TAGTTAAATATTTAGTTTCACCTGCTGCAGATTTGGGGTCGGCGACAGCACACACATAGAGGTTCAGTTCACATTGTGTGCATCCACCCACACACCGGTGTTTGAGTCTGTATGTGTGAACACTGGGTTAGGTTTCTTTAGATTCTGGATGCCACACTGTGTGACCAGTGCTATTGCCTTTCATCCCCTTACAAATATTTCAATCATTAAATGTCAATTTCAGCCTTATGTTAAAAAGGCACATTTTCTTTCTGTCTGTATAGTTACTTTAAAACCTGGCAAGGCTGGTGAGACCGTCCTTATGAACACTGTCCTTTCTACTTCATTTATCAGCTCATTCTAGCTAGCAGAGATTAAAGTGCATGCTAACAACAAAGTAAAAACCAAGTGCTGCAGGTGACAGGAGTGTTGCTAAACACAAATTTACCAAGTTACCAAAAGACATACATACGTCTCCATGCTAGCTAGCTAGCATCAATTATCTTGAGTGATAGCCGGACACTAGCATTAGCCACAACTGTATCTTACCCAGAAAGATTAAAATATCATTTAGTCAGCATAGCAGAATCATTTAAGGTGATCAAGCATGAATTTATCTGCAGTGCTGTAAGGTGCTTTTTCATTATTATTCAGGGTTTCTTCCTGAGTAAACAGTAAAGCTTCCCCTGGTGGTTTCTGTCATCAGGAGTTGTTGACATATCCTCATCAGTTTAATAGTAAGTTGGCCAGTGGCCCATCTCCCTCATTGTTAGTGTATTCCTTAGCATTTTAAATACTAAACTCTACCATCAGACTTTCTGTGTTGATCCTCCATCTTAGTAACATTGAGTAAACTGGACTTTGCAGTCATGACAACATGATTTTGACTGGATAACATCTTTAAATCCTCCATTGATTTTTTTTAAATCCTCAAACAGAATGGAAATGGAAAATCTAATATGCATTGAAGTATGAATTAATTAAGTGCAATGAAATTAATTATTCGTGCACTACTACAGAAATGTAAGTTGAAGACATCAAAGAGAGGAACGGGGGGCTGATGGGATAAGTGGGAACATTTGGCTTGCAAGCTACTGGACATGAATCAACATAATTAAATGCACTATGAGGTTGAATTTACACGTTAGGAAATTAGCTAAATAAGACAGTGAGGAGACAGGGAGGGTTGAGGAGATCAGAGAAGCTAAAGCATTAGCTTTCAAAACTATAATCATCGTCCTTATTACTGATAGAAAAGCATGCAGATTATTTGTGCGCTCCGACATTTTGAACATTTCAACATGACAAGGCGGACTAAAGGTATTTTAGCTTCTCAAACAGGCTTGAATGAGATCCTTTCCGGAGAGCCTCACTTAGATTTCAACCCTTCTTGCAGCCAATACATGTGGGGAAAAAAGCAGGGAGAAATACAGTGCACACTGGGTTTTGATCACAAGCAACATTACACAAAGAGAGGCACGGTTAGAGTAGTGTAAGAAAGTGTTCCACACACAGCAGCGATGGGTAGTGTGGTAAAGTGTAGCCTTGCCGTTTCCTGCAGATGATGATGGCCAGGAAGGTGACCAGGCCGGACACCAGGGCCATGCAGATCCAAATGATGGTCATGGTGTTGTAGCGCAGAGGAGCTGAAAACACACAGAAGCACTGTGTTAGCTAAGGAAAAGGTGGCACCAACGGTCGGGAGTTTGCAGCTTACACTAACACACACACAAGCAAACACAGAAGGCAGGTACAGTGTTCTTGGCCAAACAAGATAAACAAGAATTTGGAGCTTCATTAAAGAGCTCAGCGTTTTCTAATTAGCTCCTGTTTGCATTCTGAGAGTTTGTCCATGGCCTTATGGGTAGAAAATATTCAACTAATGATGTCAGCTATTTTGAAAGACTGAATTTTGTCCCAGACTTATAAGTGGTTAAGCCTCTACCGATAAATACACTATTATGAAAAACCTACATGGACGTGAGAGATATACTGCATGACAAAAACATTACCATGCTTTTGCCATCAAGCAGCAAAAAGTTAGTCTGTTTTAGGCTCAATGTTAAACACACATCAAAAGTAACTGCACATAACATAACTATTTAATTGTAAAATGACATAAAAACTGAGTATGTAATAACCTGCCTATAATTTAATAAGAATGTTTAGCACATAGGCTGATGACAGTAATTACATTTGTGATTGTTAGTGTATTATTCCTGTCGCAGTTTATTTAAATGAAAAATGCAGTAACTTAACATATATTTTAAGTGTGTCATGGATACATTTAAGCATCCCAACCAGCACTGCAGACACCTGGATTCAGTTCCTGGAAGTACGACATCCAGCTTGGCTAGGCATTATAAGCAGCACAACTGGCACCACTGGTGAGTGGGAAGCCAGTGGGGGATGAATGATTCACTTACTACATGCAAAATAATGTTATAACATTATTAAAATTTTTATATTTATATTTTTATATTAAGCGCAGGGAATTACATTATCAATTTACTTATTACATTCTTTTCAGTTTTTACAGTAACTTTAAAGGACCAAAGGTGTGTAGGATTTAGCGGCATCAAGGGGTATAGGTGCAGATCGCAACGCACTCGCTTCACTCTCCCCTTCCAATGGCGAAGGAGAAACTACGGTGGTTTCGACAACTGTGTTGGAAAGACCTAAAAACCACTGAAAGTAACCTGGTTCCAAACCTGTGACTGCTTTCACTGATTTATATACTTTAGGTTTGTGTTGTAACCAGAAAAATATCGGATCTAATCAGAGGTTTGTACCTAGTAGGATTAAAGCTTTAAGCTTTAAGAATGAGGTAATTTTTCTGTGGTTGGGTTAGAATCCATTACAAAAAATGTGCCAATTTCAGGGGAATTCATTTTAAGTTTGTTGAGATATTTCTGGACCAAAGTTTCTGAGACTGCCATCCTTGAGCCACACTGCTAGTATGGCTAACAAAAACAATTTTCATGATTTGATTATCAGGGTACACAAATCTGAGAAATGACCTTATTGTTTGTAGTTGGGAAAGGGACATGACGAAAAAATGCTCCTCAGCCTGTCTTTCATAAAGTTTAGGACGTATTGATTACTCAGCATGTAGGCTAGTGGGATGTGTGCAGCCCTCTTGTTTTCAGAGTCTGGAAATGAATCAGTATCAAGAGGAGGAGAGTCGGGGTCCAGTGAGCAGCAGAATGAAGGGAGACTATTAGTCAATGAAACAGCACTGGGACTCCAACCAGGCGGGAGGCTTGGCTTTGCAGACCTAGAGTCTGCTCTGCACGTTATCTGCCCAATCGCCTATTAGGAAAGAAAAATGTTGTAATAAAAGGGTTTTTTTAGTGATTCCTAACTTTTGGAGTTGTACTTGCCTCAGGTGGACAGACTCATGAAGACTTGTACCCCACCCTGTGTACTGCTGTTTGAAGCCGGGATAGGCTGCAGTTTTGCTGACAGGGGTGACCCTCTAACAAAGCGCAGATCAATGGAACAGAGGGATGGACTGAGGCAGTTATTGGCCTCACTGACACCAAAGCCTCTTTAGCCCTGGACCATGCAGTCTGGCCTGTCTTTGAGAAGCTTTCTGTGCCAAATCTTTTTACACAACAAACTTTGTCCACTGTGTTAAACAACATACAACTAGCTAAAGGGTTCCTGTGGCTCAGGGCAGGCAGGAGGTTTAAACAGCAATTCAGCGATACAGCATGCCCTCTCTCTGTTTCTTAGACCCTCACACACACACCTGCTTTCCCAGTCTGGATTTCCACATTCTGGCTGAAGCGTCCACAGCCTGCTGACGTTCTGGCTCGGACCTGAAAGATGTACTTGGTGCCCGGCTTTAGCCCTGACACTCGGGCACTGGTATTTTTAGACTTCAGAGTGGAGTAACTGTGCTCTTCATTGTCCTGCAAGAGAAAAGGCCATGTTTAAAGATTAGATCTGAGAAAATTTCCATTGTGGTCAGCTTATGCACTCTGTATGAAAACAGAAGCTCTGCTGCTCTATATGAACACGTTATAGTAGGTGGTTTATAATAAATTGCTCGACTGATAGAGATAACACCTCAAAATATTAACTCAATACCTCAGATACAGCCAGGTTTATTGTTGGTTACACTTGGCCACTTGAGGGCAGCGAGAATTTGTGAATACAACATTGACATGGCGACTGCCCATTGTTTTGAAACCCCAATAGTCCCAAAAATTTCCCATTGGACCCAACAAAAGTTTTTCCTAAAATACACATTCTCCCTGGAGTTTTGGATGTGTAGGAAAGGACGAAGTCAGGTGACCTTCATCATCATGGTAGCAATAATAGACACATGGTTAACATTGTGGAACGGTCATAGTTTGGTTAGATTTAGGCATCAAAACTACTTAGGGAAATGATCATGGTTTAGGTAAAATAAGTAACGTTAAGTTGTGCACATAGGTTGGTGATACCGGAGTGTGCATTTACATCTGTTGGACATATGGGCTCTGGTCCATTGGGACATTTTTTGTACCATGGAGGTTTTAGAAAAATGGGCCGTTGGAACAATGGCATAGCACCGTTGACATATCATCACCTTTTAAGTAGATATGGAGAACATGTTAGCAAACAGACAAATCTACCTATACACCCAGCATTAGCATTAGCATTCATTTGGAGTTGTGTTTCTGAAGTCCAATATTCATTGTAGTTTTAAAATTTTTTGACTCTACCGAAGGGAAATAGCTGCTAAATGCCCCACTATGTTCATCACTGTCTGTCTGCTGTTGGGTGCTGAGCAGGCAGTGTACAGTGGGTTTTTAGAGGTTTTTCATTGAACACGACGTTACGACAGCGGGGAGAGTGAACTAGAACAGTAAAGTTGTGGCTGGACAGTTAAACAATGAGCTCAAACGCACTATAAGGCTCTTTAAAGTGAAGGGGGGGCTGCAGATTCAGCTGACAATTCTCTGTATTCATCACTGCCAGTGAACCCATTCACATTGTCACATTGTTATTTGATACACTGTCATTTCAGAATTATAGCTGCTTTAATGTGAGAAACCATGTGTGAATGCACCGTTATGTTTATTGTTGGATAGGAAGATTTGATTTGAAATTTGTCAACTGTGTTTGACTTTTTGAATTTTGTTTTTGTTAATACCTCTGGCTGTATTACCGTAGGACATTGTGGGTAATGCTGCAGACCAATGGGCAGGACTGCTTTATGTCAGTATTGGATTTATATGTGATTATTGCATCATGAGATGGAGGAACTTGATCCATCAGCAGGGGTTAAATAGGGCCAGAGCCTGCCGGAGCTGAGCCCTTCCTTCTCAGTAATATCCAGGGTTGCCAACTCTGACACTCTTGGCACCCGCTTTCAGGCTCTGTCTCACACTCTTACGCCACCCATATAAATGTTACGCCAAATAAGAGCAAGCCACTACTTAATACAAAAATATAGTTTTAATGTAATTAAAGCAGATTTAACTGCGATCAATAGCTTAATAGAGTCTTACCACCACTATCGTTCACGTAACTGAATGTGATCTGGAGTTTTGCAGGAACCTTAATACTGATGGCTTGTTTAGTGAGGCTCTTGCCCACAATTAATTATAGAACTTAGGCTCTTTTCCTTTCAGTGCAGTCATCACACAGCAGCAAGATTTATACGTGCGCCTCCAAATTAAGAGGGTGCTGTGCACATTTTACACAAGTGGCACAGCATTGTTAAATTCATTATTTATTTAAATCTCCTGACACAGCGTCAGGATCAGGAGCTGTTACACAAAGACTCCATGTTTAATAGTGAAATTGTGGAGAATAAAGCAGCAGTTCTCTGGATGAGTCCTGATTATATGTTTACAGTCCTTCACAACTCTTGTGCAGGATCTTAGTCGCTCATTGTCTGTGGCAGGGAGGCAACTACAGTGATCAAACCTCTTTCAAACATGGACAGTAGTCCCTGTATGTCTTCAAAATGGTATTCCATGTTTGTATTTTGGTTTAAATAAACCACAGCATTTGGCTAAAATGTACACAACATTTAGCTTTAGAGCAGCTGCAAATGATCAACTCGGGAAACATTCATACTTTGCTGTTGCATTTGACTAAAATTCTAAATGTCTGTGTTCCAACATCAACAGAGAGTATTTTCAACGTGCTTGTACTATTCACGTGCATTAATAGTCCAAATTCACTGCCACTTACAACAGTGCTATCAGTTGAATGCTAATGGTGTAATGATCCTTTTAACAACCACAATGCAGCGCCATTGTTTTAGGAGTTTTTCTGAAATTACATGAGCATCTTGAAACACAGAGAGAAAGGGCAGATCAAGGCAGATCTTAAAATTATGAAAGCTGAATTCAGAGATACTTTATAAGTACGGAGGTAAAATAAGTTCAACCATAATAAGAGGTGCGAGGTGCATACAAACAGCAGAATAAGTGAATCATTCATGTGTCCTTAGAAAGGATAAGAGCCTAATTATGAAGAAGTGCTAGGTGCAGAAATAAGAGCCTTTTTTTGTCTTCATTATCATCCTCAGCTAGTGTGCTGCTGCAGCGACCGCCACCCTCGCTGTGACTTATTGTTGTTTAGTACAGTAGTATAGAAACCTTGAGAAAGCACATTGCTGACTTGTCCACTTGAAATCCCCCACAGGCGTCTCGCCCCCCTGAGCGAGGCCAGATTAAGACACCAGCGCAAGAGACGAGCTAATCCTTCAGCACTCCCCACACCATCCTGCTTGTTTGGCTATGAGACTGCCTGTTCCCAGGCTGCTCCCTCTGCAATTAGCTGATTTCTATCATCGCACACACACACACATCTACTCACCCAAACACACACACACGTGCACATTCACGCACTCGCAGCAATTAGCTCGTCGTGAGGCTTATGCGCCCGCCAGCCGCTTGCTGTCACTGTCACTTTTGCTAAGTTGGAATCCACACCGTCTCATCCTCCTTCTTGCTCTCCCTCTCTCGACCCCCATTTCCTTTCAATTAGCTGAGCTGCCAGCAGGATCTTTTTCTTGGATTAAGTTATCCAGAGTCTATCCAGCCGTCACTCCTCCGCATTCACAATATCTTGGCTCAGCTTAGTTGCAGCCCTTTGAAGACAATGAGCTTATGTTCTCCAGGTAGAGCAGAGACTGTGTCACTTTTCTTCCTCTCATAAGTGCCTCAATAGTTTCATGTTAGATGTTTTTTGGAAAATAAACAGAATATGTTGACACAACCCTAAAACAAACTGCAGTATTTGTATTTGTTTGCTTTTTAAGTGGGCAGTTAGTTGAGTACCTTCTCGTAGTATTTGATGTCGTACTCCAGGATTACTCCGTTGGGCTGGTTGGGTTCATGCCACAGCAGAGTCACGCTGTTCTGGCTGGTGTTCTCCTGGCGGATCGCTAACACTTCAGAGGGGGCTGCACAAGAAACGGGAGAGATTACTGCTTTGTCAGTTCAAGATTTGGTTCTTCAATGACCACAAAATATGGTCACGAGATTACCCTGCAGTAAAGTCCTGTTTGACTCCTGCATTTACTGAAGCTCTCTCAGACAGCGAGAATGATTAAATGATTTATCGTACACAAAGGTGGTATTGCCATCAGTTGGTGCAGACTTTATAGAGTCTTTGCTAAGTTTAGATCCTTCTGACAAATATGATTGCCAAGTTGTTTCCCAACAAGTCCTCAAAACTAAATGACTACTCATGCCGTTTTTATCATCTCAAGCCTCAATTGGCAACATTGTTTGTCAGTGCCTTCCAAAACTGTTAATGCATGATAGGCCTCCACTGTGGTTGATATTTGCTTAAGGTGAGGCATGAAAACCTGGTTAAGGTAAGGGAAAGGTTGTGGTTATGGTCAAAACCAACCAGTGTTGACTGCCAGCAGGACTAGAGAAACCCAACCTCCTCCCTAAGACTTTTTGCAGCGTCAGAGAGAAAACAGTCATCATTTACTTGGCCACAAGAGGTCCTTGTCAGGTAAACATAGTGATTTTAGGCATTTGAACAAATGGTAAAATATAATTTTTCTCAGGAGAGTCTCTTCAGTGGTGGATGCAGACGGTGGAACACTGTGGAGCAGTCTCAACATTAGACTGCAGCAGTGTGAAAATACAGTGAGATCACAAATGAAAAGAGGAATTAATTGGCACAAAAGTCCAGCAAAGTCAGTAACCCCATTTCTGAGTTCAGCACTTCGTACAATACGGTCACAGAGACTGCGCCAGTCAATGCCACAGCGCATGCAGTGGATTAAGCTTACGTTCCAACAAAGAAGAAGAGCAGAGAAAAGTATTGGATTCAAACTTTGCCTCCAAATCTGGACAGACAGAATAAATAAAAGGTATGATATAATCTTTGTGCTATTTACTATTACTATTTGCTATTTTTACTATTTTATTTACTAGTGTCAATGGCCTCCCACCCTTTTCTATTCTACTCTAAGGTCTATTGCAAATTCCATATCACAGAGTCAATTAACATGGGTGGCAAACCTTTGAAATGGAGCAATAAATTGGGGAGCTTCTTTGACCCCAAAACAAAACCCCAAATCACTCTTCATAAATTTCCAAAAACCCCCTAATCCAACGTCATCAATCCTGGATTTATGTTGTTTTTACTATATCAGCGTATTCAAACTGCTGGGAACTTTTCTACATCAAGGTAGCAGGAGGGATAGAAATAAGCTGTTCTAGAAAAATACTTACTTTTTCCAACTTTTAAAAGTTAGAAATTGTTAGAGTGCAGGTAATACTTAATGAGTGTTAACCAATCAATGGCAGGGTTATTACAACTGATTACTGCAACACTTATCAGAATGCAGATGAAGTCAGTATTATTGTTGTGTTCATGTAGCACAGAAGTGTCAGAGTTGGACATAAGTACTGTTTGCTGACAGACTCCAACTAGTCCTTTGTGCGTGAGCCATAACCTGCTTTTCATTATCAGCACAAAATGTCGTTGAGACAGCACATTCTTTCAAAGATTGTTATTTTGGCACTTTTGCTCAATTTGACACTAAGAGTGAGACAGCAAAAGGTGAATGAGAAAGATGTGTGATGAAGGGCCAAGGCTGGATTCAAACTCAAAATGATTGGGCTGTGCCTTTTGTCTTCTTATGGATGGTTTAGTGAATGACTTGAACCCAGGACATCACAGTTACATGGTATGAACATCAGAGCGACCACATCCTTTATTATTCAACCTTTGTCCTGTCTAAAGTCTTTAGGCATTTTTCCACTACAGGAACCAATGACCCATAACCTGAACCTCTAAAAACCTGGTTTTGGTGCTATGGTGCTAGGTTCTGCCTTGCGTGTCTGTGTGAAAACTGAAACTTTTCCAATACAATTTGTGTTTAGTTTTGCCGAATGCAGTTGTGGGACAGACAGTAACGGAATAAGGGGCTCTGATAATGACTTTCTTTCAGGTTTACAAGTAATGACTTTTGAACGTCAGCATCATTAAATTAATGGAAGGGCCCCAAGCGCAGAAGGAGGTCGACAGAAAAAGAACCGAGGACAGTGAATACACATTAAGTTACGGGTTGTTAAGTTCTATAGTGGAAAAAGGCCTGTGCCATGAACCAAAGCCTTCGTAATGAGAAACTGTATGTCATTGTGCCGAACCCTACCTGCCTGGTTCGTTGTGATGTTGACCAAGGCGTAAGGTGACGGCTCGTTGCTCAGGTGCGTTACTGCGTTCATAGCCAGGATGCGGAAGGAGTAGTTGGTGTGAGCCACCAGGTTGAGCACCGTCACCCAGGCCTCTGTCAACCCGGTCTGGCGGGGAACGAATCGAACAGCTGCATTGCCCGAGCGCTCCACCATCCCTCCTCCCATGGACCCAATACTCGCCCCTGCCTTTCCTCCGCCAGCACCTCCTGGGTAGGATGCGCAGTTCTCGCAGGGCCCTCCTTCCCCTGAGCATTTCAGACACAACACGCTGTACTGCAGGTCGCTGCGACCTCCAGTATCCAGAGGGCGATCCCACTCTAAATTCACAGACGTCCCATTGACCGAGGAGATGACGCTTACTGGAGCAGATGGAGGGCCTGGAGAAAAGAAAGACGTAGGTTTGAGTTCATTCACAGGTTTGATCGCTGTCTAAAAAAGAAAATTGGATTTTTGAGGCATAGATAAATCCGGCACATCATTCCATAGTTGCTGTGTTTTGTTGGGGAGTGCATTCTCGCCCATGGGCTTAGGTGATCTTGTGTACCACATGTTTGTGCTTACGGGAGCATGGAGCCGCTGGTGGGTCATCCGCTGCCCGATAGTAGTTGGAGTCACAGGGGCAGGAGAGGGCAGCTCTGGTCTCTGAGTGGCTGTGCTGAGGACATTTACCACACAGGCCATCGCCCGCCACTGGCTTATAGAAACCCACCTCACAGGCTGCAGAGAGAGAGAGAGAGAATAAATAGAGTAAATAGAGAGCTTGCAGGGAAAGGCTCTGCACTCCCATAATCACTCAGACCATGATAAAATTGAGAGAGAGTGCAGCCAGAAAGGCATGAATCACACTCCTATAGCGAGCTGTGCATATCAACGCAGCTTCAACTTTTTCAAAACTGTGTCATCTCCTCCAAAGCATTCATTTTAGGACATATCCCCCCCACTCCTCGCCCCCCTCCTCCAAATCTATGTATAATTACAGGCCTTGTAACCGTAGAGACCGCAGAGCAGGGGAGATGAAAGTCATACTTCTTTCTGCTCAGATTTGGGCTGAAAAGGCTCTGCACTGTTGATACTCCCAGTGAGACCCTCAGAATCCAGACCGTGTTTCAACCTTATTCAGCTCCTCTGATACATATTCACTTTTAACTCTGCACTGATTAATAATGGAGGGGGCTCTGATAAATATATTCTCTTTCCGAGCGGTTAATAGGCTTCTGCTATGGTAAATGGGGCAGGGGTAAATCTCGCACACGCTCAGAAAGCAGCAGCCGACACCGGCGCGCTCGTGTTTGCTCCTCCTCACAGGGTAATTTATGCTTCGCCAGAATGCTGAGTGTTAGTTTACAGATGCAGTTTTTTTCTAACCTTTCCTTGTTAAGTTTATAGAGGACCATTTTAGGTGCTTAGACTTCAAAGGTGCTAAAAGAAGCATGAAATTGGATAACCAACATGAGTGAAATTATAACAAAGTGAATAGTTAGAATGTATTCTGGATTACTGGCTGAGACATTTGTAGATGCATTCGAAAAGGAATAAAACCTTCCCGTGCTCGTGCCTGAAAAGTACACATGCAAATATTCACCATGGCGGTGTGCGGAGACACACACACACACACACACACACACACACACCCTGGATGTGCAATTCAACCATGTGATTAGATTTTATGATATCCTGCATAATGGTGTTTAATTTGTTAGGCTGAATTTTTTCACAGCCATTTTATTTTCAGCTAATTGTTCATTTGAACACGCTGCAGTTATTACCCTCATGAAGCATTTTTTTTAAAGGAAAAATGTGACTATTTAAACCATAAAGTGTGTGAAGCTTCACTTTATCCTTGAAAGGTCTGCCTCCACTGAACGAAAAAGTTGCTACTTTATAATCCTGTACGTGCTCCCTCACAGGCTTCCCACCCACAAACACAAACAGCTGTGTTTATTGGAGTGTCCAGCCTGAGTAGCACTGCCAGCAGTCAGACCCTGGTGTCTGTGGCAGTGGGAAGTCATCCCACATTATGCATAAGATCTGACAGGCACATACAGTTGAAATAGAAAATGAAAAAGGAAGAAAAACAACGTGGGTGATAAAAACGCTGCATCGGTTGCCTCCAAAATGAAAATAAAGAAAGCAAACATGAATTTCTTTCCAGGTTTCAGTCGGCCTGTTTTTATTAGACGCTGTGGGGAAAAAATAAAACAAGTGAACCATCTCCTCATCTGTGCAAACTGAAACAAACTAAATTCAGAATAGAAAACATTTTAAATGGATTACTTAGAAAATACAAAGGTGCTTTGTCTTTAATATTTATTTTTCTTTTGCATAAAGACAAGCGAACATGGACAGAGCCAGTATAGACAAACTGTCTAGGCCTCCTGAATATCTCTGAGCATGATCTTTAAATATTTCATGCATTTCAAAGCTTTTGGCACCTTTTTGTGTTACACCTCTCCTTCCACATTTCCTGTGGTCAAACATCTCTGTCACAGCTTTTCTTTGAGATGTGACACAACTGGAAGCCACCACAAGCTGACAGATATAAGTCACACTAACAGGCTGAGATGGGCCATGATACCATCAGTTTTCATCTGGAAGGCAAATTCTGTTTCATATTTTATCAGCTACAGTGTTCAACTGCTCTGCAAACCTTGTTGTATAAATAAAACTATTCAATATACAGTATATTTACACAACCCTTTACATTTTACTTAAAAATAATTACTCAGTACTTATAAGATTTCACTGGCTGTTTTTTGGGATTGTTGCAGCGTAAAATTTCTGATTTCACAGCAGCTTTTCTAAAAAGTTGCATACCATGTTTTTTTTTTTTTGCTAAATAAATTTAAGAAATCATTGCGAATATTATCTTTTTCAAGGAATCAATCAATCAGGGAAATGTATTCATCATAATATACATACATTTATATATAATATACATTTACACCCAGGAAATAATTCTGCCTGCAGTGCATCTTTTGAATTTGCATCTGGGGGGATGTAAACAGCAGCAACAAGATAGTGATTGTATAAATTCATATATAAATACAATATATAAGTTCATTAACAATTAATTTAAAATCAAATGCTACTTGTTCCAGTGAGAATAAAATCACACTCTTTGGAGGGTAAATGCGAGACCTTTGCGTTGCACATGTTTGTATCGTCACAACTAGAAACAAGGAAGTGAGTCTGGTGACATATGGCTCAATGTTTGCGCAGGAAAGTACAATGATTGATCAAATTTGCAGAAATGTTGGGGTGACTGGACAAAATTGAGGGACTGTATAAATGTGTTTTTATTATAGAAACATTAGAGAACTGACTACCAGTTGTTTTATTGAGTTTGGTTTATTATTATTATTATATTAATTATGTGAAAAAAGAGTGGGTGAGCACAAGATTTTACATTACAAAGAGCTGAAGCCACAGTTCTAATGACAAATAAATGCAATACAAGAATATAAAATAGAACAAAGTTTTACTTTTCATCTGCAGTAAATAAGATGAGTAAGGCTTTTATGCAACAGTGCATGCACAACAGGGCCTCCCCTCATTAGCTAGGTTTCATAATTCAAACTCCATCACTAATGATTCATCATTTAATGTGCCATGACTTCTTAGTCATCTCTAATGTATCTGTATCTAATGTTTCTCTCTGCCTGTCCTTCCTGCTGACGACACATGCTGTCATTAAGAGCCATAGAGGAACATGCAGATGTGGAAGGAGAAAGGAGAGACCGAGAGAGATACTCTGCTCCTTGTTGTGTGTTTGTCATATAAATGCTGTCGCTCCTCATGCAAGCCATCAGCTAGTGGGAATACATTATCAATGTTACAAAAGACTACCTAAGATTTCTGTCAGAAACCAAGGGCACACACATTTTATGGTGATTACAGGCATGTGACTAATTTATTAGTATTTTCGATTGACATTGTGGATTTGCAGTTTGAGGACACAAACCAGAGCTGAAAATACTGAGCTCGAACAGGGCGAACCAGTAGGTATAAGGTGAGGAAGAGCTGGGAGTAGCTTGCAGAAAAGAAATTACCACCACAGCTTTCCCTCAACAGTTGATCTCACGTTGAGCCAAAACTGTCAGACATCAGGTGGATTTGACTACAAACAAAGGGACCATCAGTGTTTGTAGTGCACGTTACAGTTACTACAGTTTCTCAGGAGCCACCCAGTTAAATCTTGGCTAAAGTGCTGGAAAAATCAGTCCAAACACGTAGTAAACACTGCATAGATCTCAGCGTGCGTTTCCATGTCCATGGTATCTGAGAAAAAGTTGATTCTGAAGCATGAAGCAAACATGGATCACTACTGTACTGTATATAAATAACCAATGTCTTAAAAGAAAGTTTCCTCCATGCAATACACTTCCTAAATGACTGTTAGCATTAGCACTGGCGTCAACCGAACAAACAGAAACAAGCAAACTATTTTTCCTGACTTAGCTGTGTTCATACATTTATCTACTTTTGTACAAGGATCTTTTTAACATGCAGGCATGAGACACACTGTGTTAGGATCAGTTTGACCTCTACTTTTAAATGTTACATTGGTTGTACAGATTGTTCAGTTTTTTCCCTCTGAGCTGTGGTAACTGATTAGAACTGAGTGTAACTAAAACTTAGCTGCTGGATGGTGGGGAGGCCTGAGTTATCTCCATATTTGCATGTCCATATGTAGATAAGGATTTCACACCAGTTCATTGAACATTTTTGATTAAAAACCCACTGTGGAAAACTGTTATATTCAATGCAGATCGTTCTTACATGTCTTAAAATGCGTCTGGCAGGCGCTTGAAATGGCCCCTGCGATAGTGCTAAATTCTATACAGCATTTAATTTCACTATCTACATTGCCACATGCTATAGCTGAACGTAGTGTCAAACTGGTGTAAATGCTGTAATCTTTAAGCAACATTATGTACATTATGTACTAATAGATTTGCATTACATTTCCAGGGGTTGAAGCTGTAGCATTTAAAGCTGTTAAAATTATAACTTTACCTCAAAATGTACAAACATGTACACACCCACACATGCACCTGTGTTAGTGCTGATAATGTAAAACACATAGCAGATGCTCAGATATGTACACACACACAGTACATACAGTATGTGTAGCACTATAGATAAACAGACTAGGGGCGATAGTGCTCTTTTCTTTCACTGTCAGGGCCCCCACAGGAGCCAGAAACTATTTCTATTTGAGATATTTATCCCAGACTGTTTTTTCTTCGTACTTTTTTTATCCCGTTAATCCCTCCATCCCTTGATGTTTTTTGTGAAGCCCCTGAGTTGAAAAGCAGGTCACGATAAACATCGGAACAGCTCGTTCATCAAGGAGGGAGGCGGCGAGCGCTTTGAAGTCTCTGACAGATTCACCAGGAGCTCTACACACACTCTATCAAACACACACACATGCAAAGGTTATGATAATGCAAAACACACGTAAACATACACACAGGGTGTCTGATGCAGCCACAGCAACAACATGCAACATAAATTTATCAACACACAGGTGAATATGCAAAGGCAGGGGGAAGGACCGGCAGTGATAACCTTTCACTTCAATTCTGACGTGCTGTGCTCTAGATAGAGAGACAATTAAGATATACGTAAGTGGGAATAATACAAATATCATAAAATGAGTAAAAAGAAAAAGCGATCAGTGGATTCTGGGCCGTTGCCAAAGCTTTAAAGCCAAG